ATGTTGTTGTCCACGTGTCCTTTGATACTAAATCTTCCGCTGCGCTGCTTCCCAGCCCATGATGATAATGATACGAATGTGTGTTGTTGATTTCTCGTTGGTTCACCCTTTGCACCGTGCACATTGACATCTCGTGGATGTTGCACCTATGCTGCTGGTTGTTGCCACTTCTGTCATTGCTAGATCCTAGGCTCTCAGTGCATTTCGCTTTCTGATATGCTACAAGTGGTATCGGAGCATTGGCGATGAATCTTGGCAACAACCAATCAATCGATTGATTGATTGGATTGGCGGCTTGCCACCAATCAATCTTCGATTGATTGATCAGTCAATCAGGAGATTGATTGATTGATTGATTGATTGATTGATTAGGTTGATTGATTATTTGGCAATGGTTTATTTAATCTTGGAAATTTCCCGGAATTAATTATTTGATTATTTTTTTTCCCAAGAAATTATTTCTTTTTCCGAGAATTTTTTTTTTTCCGATAAATTATTTCTTTTTTCGAGAAAGTTCTCTCCGAGAAATTATTTCTTTTTCCGAGAATTTTTTTTTTTCCCGAGAAATTATATTTTTTTCCAAGGAAATTCTTCGAGAAATTATTGTTCTTTTCCGAAAAATTATTTTTCCGCGAAATTTGGTTTCCGATAATTTTTTTTTTTCCTACTGAGAATTCCTTTTCCGAATTTTTTACCTTGCTTAATTGTTAAATGTCTGCATTTTGATAATTTCGTGATACTTTTTTTCTGAAGCTGTCCCTCTACACTTTCACTGCGTAGGTCTGCAAATTCCGTTCTTTTTTTTTCAAAAAAAAAAAACGGCATTTTTTTCTTTTTTGCAACCTACTCCTACTCTGAGTTTGTAAAGATACTTCTTTTCTGATTTTCTGCAGTTTGAGCACCGAAGGTTCACAATTGCTTTCTGCATCACCTTCGGCACTCAATGGGATTGGACAGTCTTTCTTTTCGAATTTTGTTTTATTCAAAATTATTATTTTTTTTCCCTTTTTTTGATTAGGAAACTGTTCAATTTTGGATCTGTCTTATCCTTCCCACCTGTCCGCTGCCTACCTGTTCCTCCCCCCCCCCAGTCCGGGTACAGGGCCAGTCCATCAGATTGGCCCTCGGGGGACTCTTCAGACTTCGAACACAGCAGTGCATGACACTGCTCACTCGATCACAGACCAAGGCCATGGACCGGAAGGCGGGAGAATCCCTCCTGGCCTATGAGGAACGCCTGGCGGCATTCATTCAGGAGGCCAACGATAGGGCTGCCGCCGCGGCCAAGGAACATAATCGGCTTGAACAAGAGGAGGCCAAGCGACAGAAGGAGGAACAGGAACGACTTCGTCAAGAAGAGGCAGACCTGCAGGCGGCAGCCGAACACCGGTCACGCCAGCGGGAACGACTGTTCACGCGGGAGACCGTGATCGGCGATGAGGCCGCACATCGGGTGGAAGAGCCATCTGCAGACGGGGCCCCGGAGACTGAGAAAGGGCTGTCAGCCCTTGCGCAGGTCTCCCACGACCTCGTGGCCACCTGCGCTCTGCAGCAGGAGGAAATCCTTCACCTGCAGCAGACAGTGGACCAGATGCTCGCACGGCTGCAGGCGGTGGAGAAACAGCCAGCTGCTGTAGCAGCCGCAGGGCCTTCCAACCTTACCACCCGTGTGCAAGTTTTGGAGGATGACGTCAGCAACATCAAGCGTGTGCATCAGGACTTCCGGACGTCGC